GATGTAGTACTGGTAGGTGATGGTGTAGAATTAATCATAGGAGTAGTGTCTAGATAATAATAACAAAATTAATAATGATGAAAATAACATTCAAATTTACTAAATGCTTGTATAAATGGTTCACTACTACCAACACTATTGCTAAAAACAATAGTAATGGTACACTGTTGATCTAGTGGTACTGGTACTAATTCTGTTATATTCATTGGCTGTTTAGCATATTCCACCAGCTCAGTATTATCATATACAACATCAGTTCCATTGCACTCGATAGTAACTGTAGCATTCTCAGGAGCTTCACCAGTACACTCCAATGTAATCTATAATAATAATCATTGTAATAATAAAATGAAGCCAATGATATTACTGGTATATTGAGAAAAACGTCAGCACTAGTCCCATTAAATATTATTGTGAATATATCTGAAGCAGCTTCTTCAACTGTTCTTGGTACTAAATAAACATAAAATCATTTATTCAGCAATTATTGTTTATTGTACCTCTTTGATATGAGAATGTATCATTATTAGATATTCCTTCTCCTAATTCATTAACTCCAGTTATAACATATGTATAACGATGCCGGAATAAATCCTCATCTGGAAACTGGTAACTGGTATCATATACTGATACACTCCTCAAGAACTGATCAGTGATGTCATCATATATTCTTAGTATGTAATACAGTATAGATACTCTATCATCAACTGTAGGAGCAGTCCATGTTATTTCAATATTAGAACAGTTGTCAATTGAAGAGTCAATGTTAGTAACTGGACCAAGGAAACCTAACAATGAGAAAAACAACTAAATATACAATGATGTATACATAATAGTCTATTACCAAATCCAAAAGAAGGTATAGGTACCAATTCTCCTCCATTATTACTCAGTGATACATTAACAATAAATGTATTTAAATTATTAGGTACAGTTATTTCTCCAGTAATCATCAGTTGATCATTAACTTGTGTTGATATACTGGTATTCTTTATTACTGTGTTATCAGTATTCAGTATACTAACTGTTATACCATTAGGATACTCTCCTTTACATAGTGCAGTGACCTATGGGTGAGTGACAATAATCATTTGCTATGCATGCATTTCCTGTTAGTCTACTCATTGTGTGTTGAGCTTATGGTGAATATACTTACATTAATATTGATATTCAATGATATTAGTTGTCCATCAATTACTGGTACCACTGATACAGGAGGAGTAATGAGAGGAACTGAAAGATACACTGTGAACATATACATGAAGCCATAGTAATGCTAACCTGTTTCATAATAAAAACTGATATTATAATTAGGCGAGCCTATTCCAGCACCATTAATAGGAGAAACTGATACATTATTCAATATACAAGGATCAGGATTAGTAGCTGATAATATAATACTCTTGTTAGTAGCAGTGTTGTTCAGTAATCCATTCACTATATAGTATCCAGTGATAGGTACATTATCCAGTGTATAAGGAGCTGTCCATGTTAATAATACACTGGATCCATTAATAAAGGTATAATCCAG